TACCCCTTCGACAAATTTAGTACTGAACCCTACATCAACCCAGTCTATGGAAATCCAGAATAAAATAGCGGAAAAACGGCGTCTCCGTAGAAATTGGCAGCAGTCGCGTCACTGCTCTGACAAAAGTTTGCTCAATAAAGCAATTAAAGATTTATATGAGAGAATATAAAAAGTACACTTGAATTACTTTCTCCATCAGAACTTGGACAGCACTCTTTGTGGAAAGCCTGCAAGCATATAAACAGACCCCAACAACCATCTTATCCCATAAGATGGCAGTCGTCCTGGGCACGAACTGACCAAGACAAATCTCAGGCGTTTGCCATGCATCTGGCCCAAGTGTTCAAACCAAACGAAGGCAGTGACGAAAGTGGTAACTTGAACATCATACTGGAACAGGATATCCAATTGTGTCTACCCATAAAACCAACGTCACCCAGAGAAATAGCAAAAGAAATTAAATTCCTTAGTCCTAAAAAAGCTCCAGGTTTTGATCTAGTCACTCCGCAAATTCTTAAGAAGCTGCCAAGAAAATGTATCACCTTCCTGGCTTGCTTGTTTAACGCCATCTTTAGAATGTCCTATTTCCCAAATCTATGGAAGGTGTCAGAAATAGTAATGATCCATAAGGAGGGTAAACCACCACACGAATGCTCGTCTTATCGACCAATAAGTCTTACTCCAGTCATTTCTAAACTGTGGGAAAGGATATTCGTGAAACGACTCAACGATATAATGGATGAACATGCTACTATACCTTGCTACCAGTTTGGGTTCCGTAAGGCACATTCCGCCATAGAACAGGTACATCGAGTGTACCACACAATCAGACAATGCTTCGAAAATAAACAGTATTGCTCTGCTGCATTCTTGGACGTTCAACAAGCCTTTGATCGCGTTTGGCACAAGGGACTGCTCTTTAAAATCAAAGAAAAGCTGCCACATTCTGTTTTTCATATTCTGGAGTCCTATCTCACGGATAGATTATTTAGAGTTAAAGTAGGAGAGGCACGATCATCATTGTTCCCGATTGAAGCTGGGGTGCCTCAGGGCTCGGTACTAGGTCCTGTATTATACAGCCTGTTTACGTCAGACCTACCAACTACAGATGATGTCACTGTTGCTACCTATGCTGATGACATAGCCTTTCTAGCAGTGGACAGTCATGCCACAATAGCGAGTGAAAAACTTCAAAGACTTCTCAATTACACCTCAGATTGGCTTAGCAAATGGCGTATCGAAGCTAGTGCCCAGAAATCGACCCACATAACCTTCACACTGCGAAAAAGACTGTCCCCCGGTGTGCCTGAAGAATAACATATTACCTCAAACGGAATGTGTCAAATACCTGGGTTTCCACCTTGATAGACGACTAACATGGAAAAGTCACATAAAGGCAAAAAGAGACCAAATCAACCACAAATTTAGAAGTTTAAATTGGATGATGGGTAGAAATTCTGCGCTCAGCATTGACAACAAAATTTTAATCTATAACTCCGTACTGAAACCTATATGGACATATGGTATTCAGTTGTGGGGAGTAGCCAGCAAATCTAATACAACATGCATACAAAGGGTCCAAAACATTATCTTGAAAAACATTGCAAATGCTCCGTGGTTTACGAAAAATGACGAAATCCACGAGTACCTGCACATACCAACGGTAGCGTCAGAAATAGACCGCTATAAAAAACAACATCGTGAGCGTCTCGCCCACCACCCCAATCCACTGGTCATGGAATTACTTGACAATGCTAAAATCGTAAAAAGGTTAAAGCGACACCTTATAATATAAGTGACAACAGGCATTGGCCTGTTGTACTCAAAAGCCACATCCCACTTCACCACATCTGATTATAGTCTGGCGACTGATTGCAGATATACAAATTTAAAAAAAAAAAAAAAAAAAAAAAGGTATTAGCCAAAAGAAGTAAATAACTAGATCATAATAATTATTATGTTGTCGAATAAAATCGAAATGACTTAAACTAATTATGAGATTGTAAATAACTACATATATTAAACTAAACACAGACCTTCTAAAAAAACCGAAAATTCTTTTATAAAATTTCTAAAAATCCCTTTTTTGAAGTCTGGTAATTATGATATACCAAAAACTTCTATAGCATATCTATACCAAACACTTTTCTGAATACCGCATCAAAATAGGTTTATCCAATCGCGACATAATCGCGTTGTATGTGTGTATGTTTGAGCGGCTCATACATACATACATACATACATACACCCAAACATTCATACATTCCTGCAGGTGAAACTGAGAATCTACTTATTTTATTCTTGAAGTCGGTTAAAGAAATAAACTGGCTTTTTGTTGAATTAACTTTTAACCATATTTATATTTTTATTTAACCATACATAGTCACTGTTAACCTTTCCCATTCATATCCAAATAACTACTTCTCAATCCATAATCGAATCATGAAACACTTAAAAACATAACACAACCTTTTATCCTCGAAGGGGTAGGCAGAGGTGCACATTAAGCCAATTAATGTCATTGTACAATGTCACCCACTTTTCACTGTTCATGATATAAGTCCCATGTAATAGGAAGTGAGCCTATTGCCATATACCGGGCACATTTCCAGACTCCGTGCTACTACTGAGAATTATTAAAAAACCCAGTAATACTTTGCCCGATCCAGGAATCGAACCCGAGACCCCTCGCACTTGCAACCACTCGGCCAACGAGGCAGTACTTAGAACATTTTTCAAAACCAGTTCGGGAACATTTCGTCAACTAACACTTTTCTTCCTCCTCGTCAAATTATTACGTGAGTAAGCCGAAAACATAATAAATTATTACACTTTTCTCTTTATATCGAGACGAAAGTCACTCATATTGCTGCTGACCTTGAGACAGTTAATGCTGTCTACAACCATGAGTACCAAAGCTGTTGATGGTGTGGCCACAGGTGTGTAGCGTGGGTTCATAATGGAACTTGTTTGTAAGTCAATGCAATGTCACATCTAGTTGTATTGTTGTTATCATCGTGTAGCATTAATTTTTCTTTCATTTGAGCTGTTTGTACAGTTTCGTAAGTTTCGATTTTGATAATGAATACTAATTAGGTAATTTTTATGACGGTTAAAACCTACATAATACCTATATTTTTTATGGCATAAGCCGGTAAACGAGCATACGGATATCTGATAGTAAGCAATCGAGGTCGCCCATAGACACCTGGAATACCAGAGGCGTTACAAGTGCGTTACAGGCTTTTTTGGGGATTAGGAGTTTGAGGATCGTTGGGATTCAGGGATTGGGGAGATTGGGGAAGGGGAAGGTACTTGGGCCTCCGGTAACCTCACTCACACGACGAAACACAACGTAAGCGTTGCTTCACGTCGGTTTTCTGTGAGGCCGTGATATCACTCCGGTCGAGCCGGCCCATTCGTGCCGAAGCATGGCTCTCCCACACTTAATATATATAGTTTATACTTGACGTGAGTCAATCTATAACAGCAATTCTTCATACAGTAAATACTTGATTAAGTAGTGACATAACATCGCAATCATAATTAAATCATTTCTATTTTAGTAATGAGCTAGAGAATGTTATTCATTATATTTATAATAGTCGACAAGATCAAGGCTTTATGTAATGTCATTGACACTTCGATCCGAAACGTTACGACCCAGGTGAAAGAAAGTCCCCCGTTCCGTGGTGACTGGACAATTTATTTATACTAATACTAGCTTCTGCCCGCGACTTTGTACGCGAAAACTAGTTTTCTCCTGTTTCCATAGGATTTTCAGTACTTTTTATGTCTTAAGGACCTTCCCCCTAATAATAACAAATACAACAAAAAAAGAATTAGTGAAATCGGTCCAGCCATTCACGCGTGATGACTAAGGGAAAAAGGGTTTCATATCTATATAGATTTCATATTTTATTATTGTTCTGTAAGATTACGAATGGTATATTCTGAAGATTGAAGTTTCTCTCAAAAACATAGATTTTATTAAAAAATAAATTGAGTTTCTCCTTCCAGCCAACAGATTCATTTTGGTCATTTATTTCGGGTAGGGATTGGAAACAAGACTTAGACCGGTTTCTCATCAATAACATAACCAATTAGTTATTGGTGACTAAATCAATTGTTTATTCTACAGTCCAAGTAGCCAAGGAAAAATGACCTTTAGTGTTTGAAGTTGCGCTTATTATAAAGTACATTTTCCTATCAAAATCCAAGTTCAAGGCCATCAACAATGCACACACACTAAAACAACCAAAAATATAACTAATCATAATAATATTATAAAAAAGTTGTCACACAACAGGAACGAAAGTGAACAAACCAGTTTAAGACGTAAAACATTTCCTTCATGACCAGAGCTTTAGATACACTGGTTCTTAAACAGCTGCACATCAAGCTATGAATATCCAGCTTATCGTGGTCTCGCTTTATATGATCTTTCTGCACATTGAACGGTCAGTTTATACTGGTTTTGTTCAGCCGTGTGTGCGAACACGATATGAATTGCTTATTGTGTGAATAAACAAATGTGTTTTCACTGTGTCTGTGTTTCCTTAAGTCTCAATGATACATCAAAGTGTCGACAATATGTTTGTCTTCTAGAGAAATCTTAGTATGTCAGTAGTGTGCTTGTTGGCTCATTTATTTTTATTCAGTCTTTCTCTAGGTGCTTGCATGTCACTTGATTTTGTACGAGTGCTCTAAACCTCTTTAATTTAGAAGCAATAGATAATTTTAAGTGACTAATTTTTTCAGTCTGACTAAAAATCAAATCATAAAAGCACCCGCTCTAACAAGATCCCAGTATATCTAAATCAATTGTGTTTTGAGATACAGTACCATCAATTTTGTAATGCATAAACTAAGGCACTATAGTGATTAACAAGTTAAACACTATCACTAAATACAATCAAGTTTTACCACAACACAAAGCTTATAGGTACTACTATCTTTATAAGAAACCATAATATATAAAAATACAAACAAACACTCACCTGGTTCATCACCATCCACTTCATTCTCCTCCTCCAAGTACCGTGCCTTTTCTTCAGCACTATCAGTGCCAGTGAGGTAGATAGTATTAGCTTCCTTGCTATACTTGTTGATGTCCACATTGTTCTTCTTGAAGCACACACCACTAGTCACTTCCACATCACCGTTCACCCCTAACCTATCATCAAGGTAAGTGTAAACATTCTTCTGTAAACAGCTCACTGATGGAGTCACAGTACACTTGTTCAAAATATCGTCCCACAACACATTCCCAGTCCTAAATGTCCCATTCTGATAAACGTCACTAAAATATCTACCTGAAACACTCTCTATAATCTTCATTCGTTTCGCTATCTCATCGTCTTCACTACACTGTACTTGTTTAACACTAATTAAAACTATTAGTATGAACTTTGCTATCGTATTGACACACATTTTGTTTTTATTTCTATCTTCATTATGTCCAGCCATTGTCAGATCATCACTGTTTTCTTTTTTATCACTATTTTTTCTATGTCTTGCACACGTGTGGTCTGCTGTGGTATCTACTCACGTCTAGGTGGAGTAATTCCATTCTCTTGACGTTTTGTGAATTGTAATTTTGGAAAGTTATTCTGAATCTTGTTGACAGGTCAGATTATCTTGTGTGTTGATCTTGTCGTCGTTTCATCTGTAACAAATGTATTATATTAGATGACAGCCTATGACGGAGATGTTAATTTACAAACAAAAGCTACGATGAATATTTTCGATCACATAATACATTGAATAACAGTTAGAAAAATGAATATTTACATTTTAATGACCAATAAATAAATTGTTGAATATAATTTAAATATAAAATAAAACCATATAAACGTCTGCTCTCTTGAAAGGCTCTTTGGTAACTGAGAATAAATCGAATGTGATGTTATTATTAAAAGGAAATAGTACTCATATAAGTATGAGCCGATTAAGAAGAGGCTCATAATTTATGTAAATTTAATGATACACTCATAAATCAGTGATGATCGTAATATGAAAAATGATAAATGTGAAAATTGAAAGTATTTGAATGTTTGTGGTTTTCATTAATGAGCTTGTATAACATACGATCCCAACTTTTAGTACCTGAGAATATGTTCTAAGGCAACCTACTAATTTTATGAATGCGAAAGTGTGTATGTTTGTTAGTCCTTCCCGTCAAAACGGCTGATGGGGGGATCGAGATAAAATTTGGAATAGGCTAGACTGTGGTCTGAAATAACACATAGGCTACTTTCTATCCGACGAAGCCGCTAGCAGAAGCTAGTTTAGACTTTTCAGGTACTGTCCATTTTGAAAATCAACAAATCTAATAATAGGTACTTTCGAGGACACGTGATACGCATTCTACCGAAGCAAGGAAGCAATTAATATTTAGCAAGCGTTAAAGTTCAAAATTGTGTAAAATTTTATATTCTGGACCATCAGATATTAAAACGTACTATATATTCACGCCACATTTTGGAAAGTAGACTTACTGTACTTTTCTAGTGAAAGTGAGGTGTCATCGGAAATATATGACATTTTTTTTCTTATCCTAGTAAATTGGATATGGTTTGTTAGGCAGATGATGTTATGTATGACACTAACGAAGTTATGATAGATACCATGGTTTCTTTAAAATTGTATGTCTTTGATTCATTAGAGCGACTAGCATAGTAAAATATTATATCCTAGGAAAAAAGAAAAAGCTTCAGAAAATGATCAAATACTCATTAACATTGATACTACTATTTTTACTACCAACCTTATGTTTTTACATAAGTCTTTTATGTAATGATTTCCCTGTTTTAAAAATATTTATAATATCAGATTTCTCGAGGAACTATTAAGATAGAAAATATTCACCCATTTAGATAAGGAAAGGCTTGGATCATCGTGCTTTCTAACTAATAAAATATTTTATTATGTTGTTAGAATACCATTATTATAGCAATATGAAGGATTAACATGAATGATGCAATATCAATAGACAAAGAAAAATGTGGTGTCGAAGTAGAGGAATTGGTAAAAGAAAAGTTGAGCAAAGATGCATGAAAGGCCGCACCATATTTTTAAAGGAAAACACCAGAATGGTAACACATTCAAAAAGAGCCATATTAAAAGCATACCCAATCAACAAGCATCTATGAAGAGCCTAATGAATATGAATAAAGCAAAAGAAGGAAGGACAACCAGATTACAAGAGAATTGTCTTAAATGTGAGAAAGGCTGTGACAATAGTATGAAAATATATACAATCTATGTAAATAAAAGTATTCCAGATGATCACTACAACATAAAAACTAGATCCGGTACAAATTAACCCTTTAATGGAAACGAGTAATACTAGTTCTTGCAAGACGTTGACACCGCTCTGTATAAATGAGATGTCTGTCCCTTAAGGCAATCTGTTAGGAGCCATGAATACGTGGACACGCTTTGTATTGTTGAATGAAATAATTATATTACAGAGTATAAATGCTAAATTCATGTCAATCTTTGGCAGAAACTACAGACTGCCATTTACCTTGGTTGCTTCTGGATTAATTGATGCGGGGCATAGCTTCACTGATGGAAAGGCTATTTTTATATTTGTTGACATTTGAATAGTGTAATTATTATAGTTTATGTTTTTTAGAGACAAATGCTTTGATTTTGACTCCTTTGTTCAATCAACAGCCTGTTTTCGTCCACTGCTGGACATAAGCAGAGGCTTATGTCCAGAAGTGTGTCCAAGAGTGCCATTGGAGAGCCAATGGCACGCCACTGAACTCGGTTTTCAGCTCTACGCATCCAACCACTACCAGCCACTTTACGTATATCGTCACTCCACCTAGCTGGAGGGCGCCATACACTACATTTGCCTAGACGCGGTCTCCACTCCAGAACACGTCTATCATATTTATCACCATCATATTTATGCATCTGTCATATAAGTACGCCGGTAAAAGCCTGGGGATTTTTCCAAAATCTATCCTCAATCGGTGTTAATATATTTAATCTCCACTACTCATTATTTATCTTTTCTTAATCCTACCTTTGTCGATCCTCTCAATATACCCACAGTCCAATATAATATCTTAACATATATCTTGATTTTGGTTACTAAATCATCTATCATTTCAATTATAATTATCGTGTTCATTTTAATCTTGACAAATTCGCCAAAGCTGTGGAAGTGTCAAAAGTTCAGAAGTTAAAGTTAAAATAGTTTCTTTTGTGTGTAAATGGAATTGTTCGTTAGTCATTTGTTAACGTTACACTGTTTAGAAGTGCGTGGGTTCTCACGCAGAAAAATAATTGAGAAATTATGACGGTTTAGAGCTCGCAAGCTTGACAGCAGGACAAGTACGATTGTTGGATCGCATACCGTATTAATAAAAGTAAAAGTATTTTTATTGACACAAAATAATACAATATTATATCTGGTAGTCTGGTCTGGTAGTTGTCCCGGTGCTACGGTTACCGCCACGCTACTTCATCCTACCTAACCTAGGCAGGGGTATTCCTAGTAGGATATTATAGAAATATTGGTCACGGTACATGTACCTTAAAAACGCACTGCTGACTCTTAAAAAAATGAAAAACTGTGCTATAACTGTTTTTGATTTTTGGTTTAGTAGCAGAAAATCAACAAGAGTATTATATCTACTGAGCGTATTATGGCAATGGTTTCGCCATACTTGGGGTTTCGTAATAAAACTACTCGAATAATATTTTCATCTATTAACTAAGGTATTGTTTTTCATGCTTTGTATGTTTTTAAAAATTAAGTTTTAACTTGAATAAAGTATTATTATATGAGTGATAAATCAGAATCATTACCCGCTATATAAAAATAAACACAACCAGCTTATTTTATCATTTGAACATAATTTGCACGCACACCGCATAGTATCTCCACAAATTGTATAGAATTACAATAATGATTTTATTAGTTTCTTGGAAGTAAAGCAAAAATATAGATTTTTGTCTCACGCAACTTGTTAAAGCTTGAAAATTATTACACTAAGAACCTTTTGGATTGAGGATTTCATTTAATTTTTTTATTTCGTCTCTACAATTCGTTTGAAAGGAGGAGTAGAAATCATTTGAAACCACATACTTGGCTAGTGGTTCTTTTTTATAGAATAGGAGGCAAACAAGAAGACGGATCACCTGCTGGTAAGAGGAGAGATGGTATCACACGAGGAGTCACCGGTCCGTTGCCGGCCATTTAAAAAGGAATAAGTAATCGTGGATTCATGAGCTAAACGTATTGCTTATTAATTAATACTAGTAATTAACAGACTAGAACTGACGTTTAATTTAAACTGTGTATTATTTATTGATACCAGCATATCAACCTATTCTTCTATGTTCCTTTCAATACAAATTTTCAATCTTAATGCCTTGCTTTAAAGTTGGAAATCTATCGAATAATAAACTGAATCGGGGTGTTTTGATCCACAGCGGATAGCACAATTTCTTTAACAGATTCTCGACTTTATTAACTTTCACACAGAGTTAGTAATTGAGTAAGATAATCAGACATGTTTTTCTTGTAAGAAAATGATGCATTTTCAATTGTGTAACTGTTGTTAATTGTCCGAAGCATGTTTTAATTATTTACTTAAAGTAGGACTAGCTATTTGTAATTTAAGTATCTAGACGTGTGAGCTTCGAGCCAAGAATGTGTTAATTAGTGTCCATTATAAATTAATCTAAAGGTAATTAGTTGACTGTTGTTTGTACTTATTACACCGTAATATTAGACGGATCTACAAAGTTCCCATTTTGTATGGAGTTTCTTGCTCGTTCTTCTCCATAGGAATCTACACCTTGGAATGAGCAAATAGCTTCACTTTTAGATTTCTATTGCTGACGTTCAAAAGTGCCTTCCTGGTCTAATTGAAATAAATGATTTTTGACTTTGACTTTTGACTTTTGTAAAATCCAATCTAGTGAACTCTCATTATAGTTAAGATCCAAGAATGTATCAAAAATTATTTCACTGATATTAATAAAATTTTCTTATATTGGTGATACAAACATCATAGATGGCGCTGTCATCGCTTAATATCACCATCACCTACTTTTGGAAATTTGCTGCCGTAATCAATATACTCATTACTCATTGCTTTCTCAAATCGAATGTAAGTATTAGTTTAAGTAGCTTCTATAATTACACCATAATGATGCACGTACAAGTGAAGTTAAGCAACATTTTGGCCGGAACTGGGCTCACTCCTAAAGTCCAATCACGTGTAACCTCTTTAGCTATGAATGTCTTGCATTCTGATTATGTGAATTTGTGATGTGATGGTTGACTTCTAGTTTTATGATGGTTGACAGAGAAAGTAATTTCTGTTTATGGAATATTTCGAAACCTGGAGGTGGAATATGAGGCAGTGCTTGGATTAATATGGCTTCTTTTGTTAGGTTTAAAAAAATATATTATATAAATATTAATATCGTATACGGAT